AGCTCTGTCTCTCTCTCTCTCTCAAAAATAAATAAACATTAAAAGCAATTAAAAAACACATTAAAAATGTTATAAACATTTTCCCATGTTCTCGAAGTAACATTTTTTAAAGTTTATTATTTTGAGAGAGAGAGAGCACGCTCATGAGCCAGGGAGGGGCAGAGAGAGAGGGAGAGAGAGAATCCCAAGCAGGCTCTGCACCGTCAGCACAGAGCCTGATGTGGGGCTTGAACTCATAAACCATGAGATGATGATCTGAGCCAAAATCAAGAGCTGGACACTTAACTGACTGAGCCACCCAGGCACCCCTTGAAGTAATATAATATCTTTAATTGTGAAACGCTATTCTATCCATGTATTTGCTGTAATTTGCTTAACATTTTATATTATTGAGCCTGTAGGTCATTTTCAGCTTTTTACTATTATATATAATATAATATAATACAATATAATATAATATAATATAATATAATATAATATAATATAATGTGGATGAGCCTCTGGCAGAGGGCGAGCGTCTGCAGCAGGGGCAGGGGCGGTCTAGTTCACGCGCGGTTCGTCCATCCTGCTCCCTAGTTTTCACAGTCTGCATCATGAGCACGGCTCACTTATGTGCTCCACGTCCCTCCCCCCGGCAGTCTGCTCGGGAGATGCAGTGTTCCCATGTTAGATCGTGTCCTTAGGATGTGGTTCTTGGCGTCATGGCAGCGAGGCCCGTCTCCGTCGCTGAGGCCACGCGGTACCTGTCTTCCTGCGTCCTCATCAGTGCTAGATCGGGCCCTTCTGGCATTTCTGTTATTGGATAGGCCAAAAGTGTGTCTGCATTTAGTTTCAATTAAAGTTTCGGCCGAGTACATTTATTGTTTTATTATGGAAATGTGCATTCAGAAAAGGTCTTTTTTTTTTTTAAATACAAAACACAGTGTTTAGGGAGGAACCTGAACTCATAGGGATGGAAATACGAAATAGTCGCACCCCCCACCCCTGCCGGGCTCAGGTGCCGCCCTGTCCCAGGCCGTGTGTCTCCTCTTGTCTACGGCTAACTGCCATCCTGACTCTGATGATTACGTCTCCGTGAGACGCATCTACCACGTCGGTCTCCGTAATTGGTTCATTTTCATCGCCATGGAGCTGAGGGTGGCAAGCTTGGTCTGTAGAGAGTCAGATTGTACGGTTAGGCTGTGTGGGCCACAGTCTGTGTCCAGGCCTTCGTAGCCTGTGATGTGAGACCAGCTGCTGATCTCATGGAGACCCTTTTATAGCCCCTCTTCTCCTCTTGGTCTCAGGATCATCCTGGTCTTTGGCTTGGAACACTTTCGTTATCATCTGTCTTGGTGTGAACTGCTTTGGCTTTATCCCCTTTGGAGCTCTTTGAGCTTCTTGGACGTGTAGCTTCATTTTTCATCAACACTCAGCCAGATAGTTCACGACGTTTCCTTCTCCTTCACTTCCTGCTTGCTCCGAGCCTCGAGGTCAGCCCGAGGTGATTGCTCGGGTCCTTGTCGGGTCTCTCCTGGGTACGTGCACAGCCATGGGCACACATGCGGCCCTGCCAGGACTGTTGGAAGTCCTCGCTCCCCAGCCTCTCCTCCCAGGCTCCAGCTCTTACCCACTGCCTCAGGCGGTAGCGGTGGACGCATTCGCCTATAAATGTGCCCCCCCCCCCAGCACAGCCCCAAGGAGTGGCGCTAGGTCACAGGTCACAGATCTTCTGAGTCGTCCCTTTGCACGGACTCTCCAGCCAGCCCTCTCCTCAGGCAGCCGGCATTGGCCTTGGCATGAATACTTGCCACGTGTATACCGGGCACTCAAAGGTCTCTCTTCTTCCTGACTGACTCCCACAAAATCGTCCATTTGAAAAGCTGTCGTAACGTTCCTCCTGGTCACCACTGTCACTGTGACTTCCCCCCTGCACTGTGTTTAATTGCTGTTAATAAAATGCTTCTGAACCGTGCTGTCATTAATAGAACAGCGGTCATTACCGCCCTTTGCCGTGTGCCGTCTCACCTGACTGCAGGACTGCTGGGTGCACAGGACTGCCTGCTCGCCCTGGAGAGCCTGGCGTCCTGTAGGTCTGGACAGTAGTGAGGGAAAGCTCTGCGCCCGGGGCGCAGGGCCGGGGCTCGACTCTCATCGCTGCAGCTCCTAGGTTTTGTTCGACCTGAGTCCTTAGGCTGCAGACGCACCCCAGAGAAGCGGTCAATGCCACCTCCGTGCCAGGGCCAGTCGGAACGGCCTTCCCACCTTCCCTGTTCCCATCTGACAAAACTGAGGGCCTCGGCCTCCGTGACCTCTTCAGGCTCCGCGGCGGGGGAAGGTCCGTGTGTCTGCGCCACCTCCCTTCCCAGTATAAGAAACCCAAAGCGAGGGGCTGGAGTGCCTGCCGAGCCTGTGTCCTGAGCTGTGCCCTTGCGTGCGTGGAGCGGGCTTTGGTGACGTGGGGCGGGCAGCCCACCCCATCGTCATTCACTAGTCACCGTGTCGACCGGGTGGACCCGAAGCCCCCTTTGCCTCGGTGCCGAGGCAGCGGAGGGGAGCTGACAGCACCGGCGTGGAGGGGTGGATGGTAGCAGTTGGTAGCATGCGGCGGATGGAGAAAGCCACGGCCCAAGGGAGAAGGGCCCTGCGGCCAGCGGCCCCGGGGAGGGGCAGTGGTGGGCGGGCCGGAAGGGGAGAGAGCCGGCAAAGCAGGCCAGTGAGGCAGGTCGGTGCTGCCAGTGAGGCCTTAGCCTGCTGTCACGTAAAGAAAATGATTGACGTGAACAGCAGCCCGGGCCCCCGGTGTGGCCGGGAGCGCAGGAGAAGCCCGCCTTTGTCTGGCCCGAGGGCCCACGGCAGGAAGGCCACTTCCGTTGCCTTGCGCCCCGCGGGGCTCCTGCTGGGGAGCACGGGTGTCTCCCCCAGAGTGGAGCGGGGGCGGCCCCCTCTCCCCAGCCTGGACCAACGCCAGAGAAGAGAGAAGAGAGACCTGGACCAGCAGGGCTCGTGGGTCTTGGAGAGAAGAGAACTTTGCAGCAAACCCTAACCTAGAAAACTAGGAAACACCACGGGAAAGAGCTCTGTGGGGGGTGGGGCAGCAGGAGCAGCAACAAATCTGTGAGAATAGAGAGAAAAGAGACAGGGAAACAGTGACAGCAAGCATAAGCAATCTCAGCGGCCCGTGGCCAGCAGGCCCTCCAGAGAAGGCGAGGAAGGAGAGCAGAGGGCGGGGACCGGTGAGCGCAGAGCTGACGGGGTGTCTCTGGATTCCAAGTGCTCCGTGGACAGAACTGAAAATACGCACCCCTAGGTCCAGTGCCAGGGTCCAGGCTTGCGGACACAAAGCCGGCGGCCTCCAGAAGCTAATGCCTTGCACGTTCGGAGGGCGGGGGGCTTCTGGCCTAAACCCAGAGCCCAGACAGCTCTGAGCCACGCGAGCCCAGGACAAAGGGGAGGGGTGCGGACTGATGGAGCACCCGGGGTTGAGGCGGCCCACGGAGGGCGGAGTGGAGCTGGAGTGGGGCTCGAGGTGGGGATGGCCTGAGGATTGGGGAGAGGCAGGTTACACCCAGAGGGACCTAGGAAAAGCCCATCGGTGGAGAAGTGTGATCAGGGCGGTAAACTACACCCAGTGGGGGCTCTGGTGACAAGTGGGGAGGGCCGTGGGGGCCCGTGATGCCTGAGCCTCAGGGTCCCCCTCCAGACAGGCAGGACCAAATGTCAGTGAGAGGCCTTGCCAAGTGGGAGGGCAGAGGGCCAGCCAGGAGACGGAAGAAGGAGTAGGTGTCTATTTAAGTTAAGGCAGAGCCCAGAGTGGTGCCCCGAGCCCCCAGGGTGGGGGAGGGGTGTGAGTGAAAGTCCCTGTATGTCATGCCCAGGGGTCACTGTCTGAAATTGGTACCTCAGGAGGCAGTGGCGAATTATGGTGGCATCCCCTTTCCCTGAGAGCCGGGTAGCAGGTCGTGGCAGTCGCCTGCAGGCTGGAGGGCAGCTAAGGCGCGTGGCATTTGCCTTGCTGGCGTGCGTAGCTTGCTGTTCTGACCGAGATCGAACACACCGGCAGAATCAGAGAAAGCCCCAGCTCCTGGGCTCTGGAGCGACGGTGGGGACGGGCACGGACGCGGCCCAGTGAGTGGAACCTGACCTGGGGCTCGGCCTGGCACCCACAGGGGCAGCTCCTGGCCCGGCGGTGTCTGGGGGCATGCTGGGAGCCGGGCGCCCGGGCTGCAAGCCCTTTGAGCGCCAGGCGCAGGCGGGCCCGGGGCCGGAGGAGAACCAGCGAACCACAGTGTGGGCCTGGCTGGGGGGGAGGGGGGTGCGGAGTGGCCTCTTCTGGGCCGGGAAGCACTAGGGCTCACTTTGCTGTTTGTGTTTTGTTTTCTGTCTGCAGCCACCAAAATGGAAGAACTAACTGAGAAATACAAGGTCTTCAATGACAGTCTGAAAGACATGGAGTAGTCTGGGGACTGGAAGCTCTGCCCTGAGGAGCCAGGGCCGGGCCGCAGGGGCAGGGGGCGGAGGGGGGGTGGGGCGCAGGGCCAGCCCTGAGGCGGGAGAGGCAGTTACAGCCACAAGCTCTGCGGGAGCAGCCCCATCAGCCCCATCGGCAGCTTGGGACAGAAGGAGGGAGAGGGCAGACTTGAGCTGGACAGAAAGGAAAGCTCGGGTCCCAAGAAGCCGCCTCCTGACTGCCTCCTCCCCTCTGCCGTCTGGCTGGGGCTGAGGGGGCCGTGGCTCCCCCACTGCTCAGTCTGCCCTTCTCCCCGTGGTGGTGTCCCAGATCCCGGGCTGTGGGCTTCCTGCTGTCCCAGGCGGCCTTGGCACTGCTTCTGCTCCTGCCCCTGCCTGGTGAAACCCGGGGACGCCAAGCCTCAGATGTCTCCGCCTCGCTGTGGGACCTGACCGCCCCACTGCCGTCTGCACTGTGACTGGCCTTGGGGTCCCACGTGAGGACTCCCTGCAGACCCCGGGCCCAGCCACCGACACCCAGCACCCAGCGCATCTGGAATTGAGTGGGCGGGCACGTGTTTCCTCCTCCCTCCCCAGGGCTCCCTGCACCCGCCTGGGAAATTCTTGCCAGTGGCCTGACTGGTTGTCCGGGAAGCTGCTCTCTGGGCTTCCCAGGGTGACCCAGTATCTCCCTGAGCAGTGCGCCCGTCCCTCCCTCCGAGCATGGGAACGGGCACCACTGGCGGGGCCTCTGCCTCCCTCAGCCCGGTGGCGGGCCGGAAGGGGCTTGTGGAGGGGCCTCCCTCTAAACACTTGGCCCACCGCACAGGCCTGCCCTGGCTGTGAGCCTCCCCTGCTCCTGCGCCCGCTCCTCCTCAACTTCCCTGCGGCTGCTCCGGACGGGAAGGCTGCTGAGGGAGGGAGGGGGACGGGCGGGCCCAGGCTCACCATTGTCCAGCTGCGCCAGCAGCTTCACGGTCCAAGGGACCCACGACGGCCTGTGGCAGGCAGGCCGCAGCCAGCATCTTTGTTGCCTCCCCGTGCCCCTGGTGGGAGGCTGGGCCTGCGGGCACCCACCAACCAAGGGCTGGCATAGCTTGCTCTGGAACGAGGTACTCGGGATGGTGCCACCCACTTTCTGGCCACGGAGGGCCTTCTTGCTTTCTACCTGTCTTGAATGTGCCTTTTGCCCTTGACTGAGCCAGGTGGGCCGGGAGGGCCCCAGAGCCTGGGCCGGGACGGGCTGGGCTTCACTTCTCCTCCCATGGTCCTGGGGCTGGGGTCGCTGCCAGGGCCGCCTCGTACCCCCACCTCTCGCGTTGCCCGTCCTTCATCACTCGGTGGAGCCACCTGGCCTTGCCAGGTCAGGCTCCGCCTCTCTCCCTCCTTCCTGGCGGCCTCTGCTAAGGGTCTCTTAGATAGTACGGGTCATTGCACCTGTGAAACGGATAGTATCTCCCCTTCCCGGTGGGGATGAGCTTGTGAGATGTGCGAGCCACGGCCAGGCAGCACGGAAGCCGCCCCAAGATCACTGGGGCGACACTGAGGTCCCATCCTGAATGCGCCCTTCCCTTTACTGGCCGAGCATGGCTTGTGCAAGCACCTCTTTGCTGCTCCTAGGCCCCCTTTAGCCTCATGAGGGGCTGCTGGGTCCCCTGTGACCCAGGTGGAGCGGTGCCCTGGAGGGGAAGGCTTGCCACCTTGGTGGGAGGGGCCTCGGCTCGGCTGCTGTGTCCTGGCCCTGCTCAGACTTGCGTTTCCTCCTCGTGCCTGTGATGACATGTTCTTCCAGCTTGTGGGGAGCCTTGCGTGTGGCCCGGGAGCCTGCTTTCCAATCTGTAAACATGGGGCGTATGTCTCAGCAGCTGTGAGTGAGCGAGGGGGTGGCAAGCCGGCCGCACAGGTCCTGCGGCCTTAGGCCTCCTCGTTGCCCAACAGGCGGCTGGGGGCGGGCCGTGGCCACTGATTAAAGGCCGCCTGGAGCAGCCTGTGTGGAGACAGGTGCCCAGCAGCCCAAGAAGCCGGCGAGCAGCCGCCCCAGGTAAGCCGGCCAGCAGGGTTGGTGAGGACAGCTGCCGGGAGCCCAGACGCAGGTGACCAGGTTGGGGAAGGCACCAGTGTGCAAGGGAGAAGGCCAGAGGAGGCCAAACCAGGGAGGCTTGGCTGCCTGCTTCCCGACAGCTGACCCTAGGGTTGCAGGCGCAGGGTGCTGTGCGTGAGGCTCCTCGCTAAGGTGTCTCAGTGAAGATGCCATCCTGGGCTAGCACCTCCCGGGTCCCTGATGACGTGGACGTGGCTCACTTTGTGTCTCCTGTACCTGGAGGCAGGCAGCAGAGGCCTCTGGGCCGGGATCCGGGCACATCAGGCCTGCCTTTTGCCGTTGACTAGCTGGTGGTGGTGATGATGGCCAGGGAGGGACTGGGGCACAGAATGGAGAGGGTGGCGAGGCCCTAGGAGGCCTCACCGTCGACAAAGGGGTTGGAGCATTGGCCACGGGGTCGGCTGTGTGTGGCTGGGCCCAGGCGTCCCCATCACTTCGGCCTTCAGGTTTTATGCCTTTTGCTCTGGCAGCTTTAGGCTTTGCTGTCCCCGTGAGCACATCACCATGTCCGAGGTGCCCCGGGCCGAGACTTTCGTCTTCCTGGACCTGGAAGCCACTGGGCTCCCCAGTATAGATCCCGAAGTGGCCGAGATATCTCTGTTCGCGGTGCACCGCTCCTCCCTGGAGAACCCAGACCGAGATGAGTCTGGTGTCCCCGTGCTGCCCCGGATCCTGGACAAACTCACGCTGTGCATGAGCCCAGAGCGTCCTTTTACCGCTAAGGCCAGCGAGATCACCGGCTTGAGCAGTGACAGCCTGGCCCGGTGCCGGAAGGCCGGCTTTGACAGCTCCGTCGTGCGGACTCTACAGGCCTTCCTGAGCCGCCAGGAGGGCCCCGTCTGCCTCGTGGCCCATAATGGCTTCGATTACGACTTCCCCCTGCTGTGCACAGAGCTGCGGCGCCTGGGCGCCCACCTGCCCCCGGACACCATCTGCCTGGATACACTACCTGCGCTTCGGGGCCTGGACCGCGCCCACAGCCATGGCACCCGGGCCCAGGGCTTTAAGGGTTACAGCCTGGGCAGCCTCTTCCGCCGCTACTTCCACGCCGAGCCGAGTGCCGCCCACTCAGCCGAGGGCGACGTACATACCCTGCTCATGGTCTTCCTGCACCGCGCCGCTGAGCTGCTCGGCTGGGCAGACGAGCAGGCCCGGAGCTGGGCCCGCATCGAGCCCATGTACGAGCCACCCGATCGTCCGAGCGTTGAAGCCTGAATGCCGGGGGCTCGGTGACGCCACCGCCCAGGGGCGTGAGGCCCGCCCCCAGCACCATGGGCAGCGCCAGCTCTGACCATTCAGTCGGGCCCTGGGGCCCGGAGCCGGCAGCGGACCGGTGTCCCACTGTCCCTCTCCCCATCCTCTGAGCTGGCTGTCCCTGGGCCTGCGCACCTGCCGGGCTTTCTCCCTGCCCGGGCCTGCCTAGCCTTGTAGCCCCAGAGCTCCCTGCTGGCCACCCCTCACCTGGCCTCTCAATAAACATGGACGAGTACTCAGCAGTTGAACCTCCAGTTTCCCTCTCCACCCTGCCCAGAGGGAGCAGGCAGGGAGCTGGGCCAGGGGCCGGAGCAGAGCCCCCTGGGGCCGCCTCCTTGTGGCCGGTCCTTGCTGAGAACCCGGTGGGTGACTGACAGGTGGGGGCCGTGGGCCTCCTCCCTGGCTGGTCTGCTGCTGCCTGGCCTATCGTCCCCTCCCTGCATTGTCACCCCGGAGGCCCAAGAAATGAGTGCACGGGGCCTCAGGAACATGTGCCTTGGTCTCGAGTCTGTGCTGGGGAGGGAGATGGTGCAAAGGCCAGCTCCAGTCCTCGCCCCTGTGGGCCCGGGGCATCTCCTTCCTCTCCTGGAGCCCCTGTCCCTGCCCTGCGAGGTGACGGCAGGATGAAACAAGATGGGCACACAAGATGGGAAGCGCCCCCATTCGCACACAGACACGTATGCAGAAGGGGCCTTATATGTGCAGGTCAAGCTCCAGGAGGGCCTACAGCAGGAGGGGTGCATAGAAGAGGTGGGGTGGCCGGTGCAGTGCGGGCGATACCTAGGAAGGAGGTTGTCCTGGGCCCCTGTGGCTTGGCCTGAGGAGGGCCAGGAGGCTGCCCTGTGGGGAGGACAGCTTCTCAGCAGCTGCTTCTGCTGGACTTTGAGGAGCCAGCTAACCTGCCTCGGGGGCCCCACCTGTGTGACCAAACGATGGGGCAAGGCAGGGGCGGGGGCAAGGCAGGGGCGGGACGTCCGGGAGACAGGGAGAGCAGGTGAGAAGGGGTGGGGTGGGTGGGGCGGCCACACCCGCGTGACTCCCTTGAGTGAAGCCTTGAGCCCATTCAGGACACTCTAACTAGGTCACAGTGACTAGAGCCACTGCAACGTGGAAGGGAGAAGAACGGTGACATCAGAACACAGGCAGTGGCCCTGTCGGGTCATTCCCATTGCCGGGGCCGGGGCGTCTGCACTGACCCTGAGGGCGATGAGGAGGCACAGACAGTTGTTGGCAGGAGAGGGGCAAAATCAGGTTTATGTTTTCACAGTGCCTGTCGGGCTGCTTTGTGGAGGATGGACTAAAGCAGGCCTCAGACTGGGAGGTTGGCAACCGAGGGAGAGAGGAGCAGTGGGTTTGGGGCTCTATTGCAGGGAGCGCCACTGGCCCGGCCAAGGACAGAATGGCGGGGGTGGAGGAGGGTACGTGGTAAGGGAAAGACCTGTAGGGGGCTAGTTGCGGAGTGTGGTCTGTGTGCCATTGAACTTCCCGAGGAAGGCTGGTTGGCTCCCTGCCCCCGCGGGCACCCACCTGGAAGGGTGCCCTGAGGCCGGGCCTGAGTGCGTCCTCAGTCCAAGAGCCTTCACCAGGCAGAAGCTGAGAGTAGGGGACGCCACCAGGCTCGAGGCAGCCAGGGACGCTCAGGTCCTCTGGTGCCCAAGCAGATCCACGTGTCCATTATCTAGCTGGCCAGGCTCCAGGCCACCGACTCGCAGAGGCGGTGATGCCACGAGGCTCCCTTCTCACTCGTTGGGCAAGTCAGGAGGGGCTCGAGTCCAGGCCCGGGTGGGCAGGGTCTGTCACAGACCAGGTGACAGCCTGGTCAGTGGCCACTGCCGCTGCCCCAGAGTGGTCTCTGGGCCCAGATGCGTGTGTCTCAGCACTCTGGGCTCCCCTGACCTCTTGGTGGCCTGGCCTCAGGCACCCTTCTTAGGCCCATGCTTGGCGGGCCAGGCCGAACGTCACACAGCCAGGCTAGGGCTGCCGTGCTGCTGCTGGAAAGCAGCAATGTGCTCAGAAGGGGGTGACAGCAGCTTTCCCGGGAAGTAAATGTAAACCCATGAATGCATGTATCTGTGTACGTAGGTATATCTGTTTCTCTGTCTCTCTCTCTCTCTCTCTCTCTCTATGTGTGTGTGTGTGTGTGTGTGTGTGTGTGTGTATACACACACACACGTACATACATAAATAACTTCATTATAAGTTTTATCGATATGAAGAATGTGAACACACAATTTACAAATAAAATACTACACACACGCAAAATATACAATAAAATGGCACAATATGCTATTTATAAGTTCCATATGGCCAAAGTTTTGCAAAATCCCTTACAAATCTTGCAACATGCTTACCAAATCCCTTCATTGACTTTTGCTGAACTTTTGTATCTACACCCAACCCGTGATTGCAGCTGGTGAACGAGTGTGGTTCCCATGTAAATGTCGGTTGCTATTTTCATTTATCTCAATGAGTAAGAGGAAGTGAAACAGAGACACGAGCACCAAAGCTGAATTGGATAATAGTTTCTGCTATTGGAAGAGTAGTTCCTCTTTTTTTTTTTTTTTTGCTAGTCACAATGTACTGACTACAGGCTCGAGTTTACACAATCAACAAATAATAATGGACCAAGCCCTGGTTTGTTGTGTATGCTGATTGCCATGGTGTGAATACGTTCACCAGTCCGATTCTAGGTTACCCACACGACGTCATCAAATGTGGGGCTGGGAAGAGATTCACCTTAACGTACTGTTAATGTACGTCCCTACCAAATGGATGTCGATGCATCCATAACAGTAGAGTGCAGCGAAATAAGACGTGATGGGGTTTTAGGTTCTCCTTTGTTTTTAATATAATGTCAGTGGGAGTTCATATAATTTCATTTCTAATAATGGTGGTGTTTCCCAATCAGCTCCCCAAATTCCCGGACGTTTAGCGTTTATTAGAATGGCTAAAATATAAAACTGCCCATCCCAAGTGCTGACGAGGATGTGGCAGAACCGGTGGCAATGTAAGATGATACAAGCACTTTGGAAAACAGTTTGGCCGTGTCTTAAAATGTGAGACGTGCACCTCCCATAATGCCCCAGTGATTCCATTCCTAGGTATTTACTTACCCGACAGAGATGACCTTATGTGTCCACACAGAGACTTGCACGTGACGGTTCATGGTGGCTTTATTCACAGCAGTCTCAGACTGGAAAGAACCCAAGTGTCCCTCAGCAGCACATCCGTACCACGGCACCCCGCTGAACAGTGACAGCGAGCGTTTGAGACACAGCAGGTTGTGGGGGGTGGGCACTCACAGTAATTACGCGGCTTGAAATGGGACAGACCCAGAGAAACAACACCACTACTCCAGCTCACTCTGGCCAGCCACCTGCCTGTCGTCAAGATGTGTCACTGGCTTCGAAGCCACATCAGTGTCTGCCAATAGGGATGTATCTGTGACCAGGAGCATTCCTGGGGGAAACGACGCAAGCCAATTGAAAACGGAATTATCCATGCAGAGGGATGAGAACCCAAACAACAAGGCCAGGAGCATTTTCAGGTTGTCTTTGTGCAGGAAACAAGGTGATGAGGGCAAAATGTGAAGTGGGCCACCATGAGCCGAACCTCGAGCCTCGAGCAGAAAGCTGGAGACAGGACACGGCCGGCCCTCCTGCCATCGTTTGTGTTTTCTCTAAACGACGCTTGGCCTTGTATGGGATTCATACGGGGCACACGAGTGTGTGGAAAAGAAATTCATATTGCGGATCCCTGTCCCTGAGAGCAGTGTCGCATCGTGGGGACCCTGCTCTCTGCACCTCAGCTCCTGCGCATGCACCCTGCCACCACACATTCCTCCCCGTTCACACCCACACACCGACTCACACGGGTGTGCAAACACACCCCTCAAGATGCCCCCCCACATACTTAGATGCGCCCCATTCACACACGCGTGCTTATGATTCTACATGAGTGGATCTCATTAGATTCTGCTTACAAATATCACAAGCACGTCTTCGTTGTTTCAGGGTCTATAAAGTCAGTTTCTGCCAGGCGTTCAGGCGCGATGCCATAATTCTTCCTGTTTCTTCAGTGTTTGCAGCAATCTCTTTCTCATTTGCTGGGCTTTTCAAAGAAAAAAACCCCAGGATTTTGAGCATCCTCTCTGTCTCTCTCTCTCTCTCTCCCTCTGGTTTTCTGCTTCATTAGCTTCAACTTCTATCTTTATTAAATCCATCTGTCTATTTTCTTTGGGTTGACTTTTTCTTCTGTTTGTTTCTAATTTCTTAAGGGGAAGACGCATATCTTTCTCATCTTCTATCTTGAATAACTAAGGCCAAAGACTAACTTTTCTGCCAGTAAGATCTTCTGTGTCTCTGTGGTTTGCTATATGAAACCTTCCTCTTTGCTTTGTTACAAATGTTTCTCCTTTCGCTTTCATTTTTTCCCTGAGCTGATGCTTGCAGAGTAGAATTTAGCTTAATTTCTGAGTTGTCAAGACTTTGTGACCATCTCTTACTATGTATTTCTAATTGTATTGGATAGTGGTCTGAGGATGTGTTGCTTAAGGTTGTTGGGGGGCTGTGTGAGTTTCGTAGGGCAGCTGTAACAGCACCACACGGTGAGTGGCTCACACAAGAGAAACTCCTTGGCTCACGAGGAGTCTGAGGTCCGGGCGTGGGCCGGGTTGGCTCCTTCCGGCGACTCCGAGGGAGAGTCCGCTCCGGGCCTCTCCTCCGGCTTCTGGCTCTTCCCGGCCATCTGCGGCGCTGCTCGGCCTGTGGAAGCATCGCCCGGATCTCGGCCTTGATCTTCACGTGACCTTCTCCCTCTGTGCGTGTCTCTGTGTCCAAACTATCCCTTTTCGTGAGGACCCAGTCCTACGGGATTGGGGCCCGTGCTAACGACCGCACGGTAACTTGATCATCTCTGTGCAGACCCCGTCTCCAAATAAGGTCCCCTCCACAGGTATTGGC